GTAATCTGAACTGGACAAACTAACCATGTTACAATATCCATTAATCCATGTAACCACATCATTTGCCATAATACTTCTCCCAAAAAGATTATCCTCCTTTCTCATTCCAAATTCCCCATGAAACGGATTGGTAATCCACCCCAACTCTGCCCCCTGGGCGGGAGTTTTTATTTATTTATTTTAATGTTTTTTTAAGGTTTTTTTTTTTGTTGGTCTTTTTTTCTTTTTGGGAGGGGCAGGTTGACAACCCATAAAAAGGTATCTTCAAGCATCTCTCACTCTACTAGGGAAAAAAAAAAAACCTGAAAAAGTTACTGCGCTTCTTTGCCACTCTTTGGACTTACCTTTTCTCGCATTGACAGTAAGTGAAGTTGACAACAATTTTTAACCTTCAGCTACCCATAAGTATATTATACTCTTCTCCTACAGTTCTTACGAAGGTATTGAGAACTAAAGAAACCCCAAATATTGCCCTAGATGACAATCAGCGCAGCAGTAAATGGTCGATCATCTTCTCCAAGACCCCGTGGGCATCCTCTCACAGTCAAAACAGCCAATCAATCACTGTATATCAAATTCAATAACTAGAAGGCTACTACATGTGGAGCCATCAGCTTCAAAGTGAAGATCATGAATACCAATTTTGGTGCCTAAATTTAAGTACAAGAACCAGGTCTTTCTAACTTCCACTTTGATGTAAAACATTTACAGAACAGGTAGGACCATGGAACAGGAGACCCATAAATTTGTACCGACCAGAAGCTGTTTAGGCCATAATTTTACTGTCCTCTCATGATGCAAAAAGCATTAAAGAAATAAACTCAGAAGTACCAAATAATACATTCAAAGAACAGACCTGTCCCCTACACGAGTGCCGCCCAATCAGTATAATTTTTTTGAAGTGAGCCTTCAAAATATCTTCTTCCATTGGTCCCTGTAAACGCTGAAACAACTGTCTGGCACTTCCCTGTTTGAAGTACATCACAGAGGCAAACAGAACAATTCATGAGTTATTGGCATAAGGCACAATGGTTAGTCGAAAGAAGAAAATAAGGAAACTCTAAGTCAGGCAGACTCCTGCCTTTGGAATGCCTGGTAAAGTAGAGGGATATGGTTCAGAAGAGCCTGAGTCTTCCCCACTGTCTGCACCATCCCCTGAATTTCTGTCCATAAGATTTTTGTGGCGCTCTTTGCATTCCTTAGGTTTCCGGAACACGCACTACAATTACAATCATTCATGCATATTTCAGACATTTCACTTAAACACTTCACTGTCCACAAGTACTTACAGGGACAAGAAATAAATTAGGCTCTGGAAACAGTATACGCTAAATAACAGAATCTGAGTGCTAATACCACCTTGAATTGTAAGGTAGTGTTTATAGCATTGCTCACTAGCTCCCAGTTTGGCCCCATATCATGTACAAGGACAACAAGTGCCTGAGGATTATTACAAACCACAGATATATTAGGAACCTCGTTCACCACAAGTAATCTACATACTTGTACAAAAAACATAACATTTCAATACAGCTCTCTAACCTGATCCTCAAAGGTAGACCATGGTGCTCCTGACCCTGGTTGTCCAGGAGGTAACTGCAGTAGAGAAGAATCAAAACAAGGAACTGAATATTACATAATCAAAATGCAGAAATAATGAGAAGATATCAAATGCTATTCAATATGCAAATTTTAAGCACAAACATAAAAATTATTAATTAATTAATAAGTTAATGTTAAGAATGATGTGAACACAAATCTTAATTAAAGAAACACAAGAACATGGTACTCAATATGTAACTGTTTAAGCTCTAAAGTAAAAAATATTCCTCCATTAACAAGTTAATAATGATATGAAATACAAATCTTTACTAAAGAAACACATAAACATGGAACTGTTTGCCATGCTTAAAGTTTTTAGGGTAAGTGTTTGCCACGCTTAAATAGGGATGAAATAACGCACAATCAGCTGCTTACTTCACATGGCTCCTCAGAAGAAGTTTGAGGTCTTTCTGTGAGGTGGTTGAGTGTCAAGTTTGACATTGATTTCATACGGTACACTTCCATTAGACAGGTGACATGATGAATTTGGCAATTCAAGAAAATGGTGTATTGGGTGAGCAGTGAACCATATTATCATTGCTATCAGTAATACCAGGGAAACAGGGCAGCGGAAGGCAAAAGCAAGCGAGAGTTCAGAGGCACATACTCAGTTTTCATTTATTCTAAGAGGAAGTTCAATTGTTTGGAAAGATGGGTATTTCCTCGGCCTTCTCAAACTGAGTGACATTTGCAGCCAAAAATGAAGTGCTGGTGAGGTTTTCGAAGGATAAATGGTTAGGAGCACAAAGCCTAGAGATTCCTTCCTAAAGGTATTTCTTCTTGTGTCACGTCAGGACACAACAGTCTCAGAATGCTATAGAACTCTTGGTGGCAGCCAAGTAGGGTCCCCCCCACTTTAGGTGGAACCTCAATGACAAAGAGATCGCAAACATGGCCTCCCTGCTCCATAACCTTGAATCAGAACTAACTTCCAGGCTCAGACAGGGAGAAACTAATCCGTGAACACATCCTCGGGCTGTTTATAGGCTAGATCTTTCACCTTGTTTACCCTGTGCCTCCCAAAGTACAGGCCTTCAACTGGCTGCTAACATCAAACAACGTCTTGACTCAGGACAGACTTCAAAGAAGGCGCCTTCCCCAACCAAACAAATCTCCCATGGGTAAGGATCATATTGATGAACCATTTGTTTCTCCACTGCAGGGTGGCCCACCAACTTGGTGTTTGATCCCAGACCTCTCTGGTTGGTCCTGGGCTACTCCAAGCTCAGTCGCATAACTTCTTCAATATTGCTTCTCTCCCCGTTTCCACTCCGCTGGTCTCATCTTGTGGCAAGCATCCATTATTGCCACTGCCTGGACCATTTGGCTTGAGAGAAATGGAGGTGTAAGACAACATAGAAACATCAACTCCATCTCTGATCCATCAAATCCCTGGTTATCTTTTGGGCATACAACTGAAACGAATTCAGCGCCTATTGATCATTGGACCTCGAGAGATGTTGGAATGACATCGCGAGGTCTAGACCACTAGAAATCTCAAGGTCATCCCATTGGTCCTTCTGGAGGCAGATGTCATCCAATTTAGAACCCCTAGGCTTTGCCGATGCCACCTGGCCAGAGGCACAAATGCTGCTTACAAGCATTAAAATGCTTGACTCCTGTTAGGGCTCCTCTCCCCTCATGGAAGGAGTCTCCCACAACATCATAAACTGGGCCAAGAGACAAACTTAATGCCCATGGAAATCGGAACCAATCTTTGATGAAATTTCCCAGTTATGCCAAAATCTTCATGACTACTTCAAGAACACTTTGACGGCAGTCAACACCCAAACAAGGGGCCATGAGCATATCCAACAACCTGTGGAATCCCCAGCCCCAGGTTCGTTTCCTAGAACTGCTAACGACAATCTCTTCATGATGCATGAATCTATAGCAACATTTTTGTAACCTGCCCACCACTGTTTTTTGACCCCAACATACCATAGGTTCTCCATTTTACCTAAAGTTAATATAATGTTACTTCATCAAAAGAAGAAGAAGAAGAAAACAAACAGTTTTATTAGAGACAGATGGTACAACAAAGACGATCATAAGAAGAAATTTCTGGAGTATATGGTGAGGGGCATGAGTAGGCAGGTTGAAACGAGGATGATGCACAAAGGGAAGAGTCCAAACTCAAGATAGGACATATATTTTACGAGACACTCAAATCTCGAGACTATGCTCATCACAGGCCACATTTGTCATCTGATTGCAAATGGGATAGGCATGTATTATCTATCAGATGTTCACACAAGGAGTTGGTGGGAGCTTTCAAGATGGGGTTTCTAGACAGAACTCAATAGTAGTGTGCTTATCTAGGATAGGAGCAAAAGATAAAAGCGGAAAAATAACAATCACTTCAGAACATTGAGTCTGGCTTATCAATATCTTCACCATTTGTCACAGAGGAAATAGTAGGTCATTTAATCATGTTCCCCTCTGTACCTCCCTCCCTGAACTCTCCCTCTCTCTTGTCCCCAGGCCCTCTAGTCACTCTGTCTCAGCTCCCCCACTTATTGCGAGCCCTCTAATGTTTTTCAATCAGCAGCCACTCGGCAGATTCAAGTCTTTGTTGTAGAAGTCCTAATGCACTATTTGCTTGGAGCACACCTCCATTTTTCATTTTTCTCAGAGAACCCTAACTGCCATATTCTCCGGACAAGATGTCCATGGGAAATGGAGTTCAAGTGATGGTGTTGGAGCCACCCTGCTACTTTCCAAACCATGGGCAACCACTATGGGAGATTTCTGAAACTTGATTGAAACTCCTTAAATCAGCTACCTCAAGGTACTGCTCTCTTTTTTTTTATACTGTTGACTGTTGAATTGAAAGAGAAGAAAAGTACAAGGGTCCAGAGAGAGCACCAACATACCGAGCCTCTCGGCAAAAAATAAGCTAACCTTGGTCAAGTAAGCCTATACAAAAAATGAGAGGGGCTTATAACATTGCCCGTTACAAAGATGTACAAAAAGGGAATAAGAGAAAGGTCCTTCAAGAGTTAAAGTCCTAAGGGGGAGGACCACAAAAATCACAGATGTACAAAAAGATAAGGCCGCAGTCATGAAAGCGTGGGTCCCGAGTTCTTCTAAGGGTCTGCGACCTGTGCGAGAGCTCCGTCCTTAGCCACATGGTCCGCCAGGCAATTTGATTCCCTCCAAATATGCGTCCATGAGATGGTTGTATCCCTGTAAAAGTGTGAAATCTCATCGTAAATAGATGCAAGATACCAAGGTGGTGTGGTGTGGCCGGCAGCCCAAGTAATAATATTCTAGGCGTCTCCTTCCACTAAAAGAGGTTGCCCCCACCCAGGGTCTAACATTTTGAGTCCCGTGAGAAGAGCCAAAGACTCGGCTAGTTGGGAGTCGGCATGGCCAATGTGCTTGGAGAAAGAAGTCAGGATGTTCCCATTGTGGTGTCTGAAAACCCCACCAATACCTGCCGGTCCGGGGTTCCCAAGGGAGCACCCATCGAAGTTGAACTTTATCAGACCGGCCAGTGGAGAAGACCAGCAGCCAGCTTGTGCAGCCCGACGAGGTTGGAAGAGGAGGACTTGTTCCCAACTAAGTTGGAAAGACGAAGTTGAAATAACTTTGAAGGCCTTGTGATTAGAGGCCCATAAGATAACCAGGATCTTAATCTTGTGAAAAAGGGCTGCGACTTCGCACCTGACTTCTCGAAAGACCCTTGAGTTCCTTTGCGTTCAGATTACCCAAATTGTGGCCGCTATGGATGCTTTCCATAAAGCCTGCCTGCCTTGGGCCAGGGAGGGTCCTCTGTGAATTTGATGAGGGCTGGACTGGAGGTTGGCATTACCCAGGACAATCTGAAAAGTCGTAGGAGTCTGCTCCAATGGTTTAATGTTATATTGGAGTGGATGAAGAGGTGAGGATTGTTCTCTTCTTTGCAGAGGAAAATGACGAAGAGGTTTGGGATAGGGATTCCCATGCGTTGGAGCTGGTCCACTATGAGAGCTTTTTCAGAACCCACAAGCCAATTGAAAGCTTGAACTTTAAGTGGGGCTATCGAGGACCAAACCTTGGAAACCACAGAATTCGGACAGAGGGGTAAAGTTGGGGGTTCCAGGAGTCCATTGTAGAAGGACGCTACTGAAAAGGAACCTGAGGGAGAGGGAGTCCAAATGAGACTATCTGGTTTAGAGAGGACGAGGAATGTGGCATGCAAGAGGGGTGAAAGTGAGATAAATTCCAGGAGTTCAGCATCTGAGAGAGGGCGTCTGAAGGACGAATTCCAAGCTCTAGAACTGCCTGCAACTGGGATCTCTTATGCAATCGAGGAGGAAGTATTGGTGGCCAGAGAGAACAGATAAGGAAACCTATTCCTGAGAGGGGTGTGTCCCAACCAGAGATCAGACCAGAAGCGGATTCTAAGGCCTTCCCTTAGATGGAAGCAAATGTTTTGCTTGAAGATAGTGCGGGCAGACAGGAAAGATTTTGGCGTACTCAAAGCATCTGAGGAAAAGGCTTAGGCACTCAATTTCCTCTGGGATGGCGTCAACAAACACTATAGTGTCATCGGTGTATGGATACCGTGGGACCTTTGATGCTGCTTTTGAACCCAGAGAGGAGGCCCGAGTGGTACATACGAGAAATAGATTGACTGAATACCTCTGCTGCAATAACGAACAAGAATGGAGAAAGAGGGTCCCCTTGCTAGAGACCCCTAGAAGAGGGAAAGAAGCCCCTGAAGGCCTCATAAATCAACACTAAGAAATATGGATGAGAGTAGCAACCCCGCATCCAATTTCTCCAACGTTCCCCAAACCCCATATTTGAGCAGGCATTAAATGACAGCTGGCTTAATCAGTCAACAGGAGGGCTAACCAAATCACATAAGGACCTAGACCTAATGATGATTACCGACAAGGTCCTCATGGACGATAAAATTTTGCAAGCTAGAACATTTAATGTCACCATCAATCCCAAGAATCACCAGGTCTTGATGATGACACATTAACCCCTACAGCTTCTCA